ATAGCTCTGTAAGTGTTGTGTTCTGCCAGCAGCCTGCAGAGCTGGCAGTGGAGTCAGACAGCGATGAGGCTGAGGAAGAACATGGGCCAGTCCTAGAGGCTGGGGAAGGCTCGGATGACGACTCTGCGTTGGAGGCAGAGATGGGGCCAGTGTCATCGGGGAGTGATGTGCGGACTTCGGAGTCTCCAGGGGCTGACAGTAGAGAGGCAGAGGAACAGGAGGAGCCTGTTCCTAGTGCACGTATGAGAAGAGCTGCCAGAAGGCAGGAGCGGCTAAAGCAGAGAGGACGACTCAGGAGTAGGGCCAAGAGATGATTGACCCCTCCCATAAGGCTTAAAAGACCAGCAACGGCTCTTGGCCTCTTTGCCGGAAAACAACCGTTGAGAGATTTGCTTCGTGTTTGGGTGTATTTCTTTCTTGTCAGCATCTTCTGTTCCTGAAATGTTGCCAAGAAAAGCCTTTGGCAGTTTGCCTAATTATCCCAAGGTCAGAGATAAAGTGAAGAATGGTGTTTTGAGAACTTTGCTTTCATTTAATTTGGAATACGCTGAGAATGAATTAATTCTCAGCTGTTTTAATAAAATCTGTTTGTTTTTTGGAATTGTTTTGTATTTAATACTAACTACGTGGGCCTGGGTCACAACAGTAACTAACTTAACAACCACAGTGATTCATTTAACAACTGCGGCGAGAAAAGTTGTAAAATGGGGCAAACTCGCTTAACAAGTGTTTCACCTAGCAACAGAAATTTGGGGCTCAATTGTGCCCCAAATTGTAACTTGAGGATTGCCTGTATTGTTAAGAGCTGCATAAGAAATGAATTGAAGGCAGTACAAATGCTATCAATATTGCCATGCAATACTGAAATCATGCAAAGGAACTGATCCAACTATTAGTTTACAAATAATGAGGAAGGTGTGTGTATAGGATTCAGTAACAACCAAGAAGCTGATGGACAAAAGAGTTTGGGGAATTGCTTTTGATTCATTAATTAATCAAATGTCAATCCCAAAGGTAAGAGGAGAAAGTGTATCTTGAGATGGGATTTCAAAGCAATTACCATACCGTTGACTTCAATACAGTGGTCTGAAACTTAAAGTGAGCCAATTATTTTGCTTGTGGCCCACATGGTGACGCAGTTCTCTTCCATTTATATCCTTTGAATTTGAATCATTACCAAAATTAATTCATCTCTTAATTATTCATTTAGGAATTGCTTTATTGGATTCCCAGGAGTAATATCTTAGGAATGTCTTTTCTTAATCAGATATTTAGAATGTAAGAAGAGTGAAGGTTTGGATTCCTTTGTGAGACTACTGGGAATTTAGATTCAAATAGATGTGCAAATAAGACAAACCTGTAATTTGTGCCATAACTTTCCCTACTAGCAAAAATAAGCTTCCAAACATGGACTATTTTTTAATATATTCTTGGCATCAATATCTTAAAATTCACAGTCTTTGAAAATTAACATTGAAATAGCAATACTAAAAATATCAATCAAAAGCATGAAAAAATAATGCAGGCCTCCAACATGAATCTCAAATGCAAATGGAATAATTATTATTTTTTTTTACTTATCTTGAAAATAATACAGATAAAAAACCCAAAGGAAATCTGTCAGCCTTTGAAGTACCTAGTTTTGCCTTCAGTGAAGAAATAACTGGCACCGAACATCTTCAGTGTTCAAAAAAAGCTTGTTTTATTTTGAATGAGCCACATTGAGATTTACGTGTGTGCGCTGGCCAACCTGAAAGTTCAAGTTTGCTTATTTATTTGTTTATTAAGTCTTAATTGCTGTATGTTGAAAGAATTCCAGGCAGCATACCAAAGTGCAAGTAAAAACTGTCCACCACTTAGACAACTGTGCTTTCAAGCAGTTTTTCTTGTAATGCATTTAGAAATGCAGGGATATCGGTTTAACCTACTAGGCCAGGCCAAATCTGTTAGCAGGCTCACTGGTTTCCAAAAGCTGAAAAATGCACTTTGAAGAACAGCAGCCAAGATCGATTGGATGATAACAGTATTTGGAGTACAACATTCAGGAGAAAAAAAGGAACTGCTCCCTTCTAAAGCAAACAGTAAACTCCAGGAAGCTGTACTAGAACCAAGTAATCATATACAGCTCTGACAACTCTAGTGCTGTTCCCCTTTTGCCTCCTAAGTGATTTTTTAAAAATACTACATACTTTCTTAATCTATAGTAATTCATTAGTCTGCTTATGCATCTCTAACCCTGATGTTTTCTATTTGAACAAAAAGTATGTTATAAAATTAGAAATGATTTCTTGTGGCTTTTTACTCCGAGTTATCAGATCCAGATATTTAATCCAAACCTCCTTTTGATTGCATGAAACTGCAATTGTGCCTAATAAAGATAAATTACTGTACCAAAGGTGCTTTTCCAAGAGGAAAAGTACCTTTGGGACAAACATGAGCCGGATAACTGAGACTCTCCATAGACATTTAGCTATGCACTTTGGGATGAACAATCTTTGAATGGTGCAGGAATGTGAACAGATTTCCAGAAAAAAATGAAGATTACAAGAACCATTTGTGCTTCAGTTTGAGATGCAGACAGCACAGACTTATTCCCAAAAGTTTGCACCTGAGTTCAACAATGAAGGGACACAGAGCAGAAAACATCATGCAGAAAGTACAACACCAACTTCTCAATGAAAAAAAAGCCAGTAATATCCAGTTGCCTATTGAACAAGCACCTTTGGGACAACCATGACCTCGATAACTGAGAATCTCCATAGACATAAATGCTTGTAAGCTTAACGTGACTGTTCATTCCAAGATTCTTAATGTAAAGTAAAAGAAGAGGGAAAAGCTAAAATAACATCCAGATCTTATAATCTTCCTCTTATGTCTTAACTTTCTAATGCAAGTTTGGATTGGTCCTGCATGATTATCATTTTTATTTTCCTTTTGAGGAATATCCATTCTTTTATTTCAATTTGAGAACTCCACAATTACACCTCTAAACTGGAATGCTCCAAAGAGGTAAAAAAATAAAAATAAACTAATGATGATGTAAGAAAAATATTAAGCATAAAAGCAACACCTATTAAGGGAGCTCTTAATCATAATAGGGAACTCTTCCTTTTCTTGTCAAATAAGCATATTACATTAATTGTTCTGCTCTTTTCTTAGAAGATTCAAGATTCAAGAAGATTCAAAAAGATTCAAGACTCAAGAAGATTCAGTCCAAACACTAGATTTATGACTGTATGAATAAAAGGCATAAATACAGATCTTCAGAATATGTAAAATGAAGTATTGTTCTAAGATTCCCAGCCACCCTTATACAGAAATATGTATATCAGCACATTTTGGCAGCCCATGTACCAATCAGGATAATGCTGCCCTTCCTCATTACTGTTATTTCAGTCCAAATAGGAAACTGAAAACTATTTCATTTACCTGCTTGAACAGTGAAATATACTAGCTTCCTGAAACAAAAATATATTTTAATGTTTTATTTGTCATTAAAGAATTGTATTAATTTTGAATATAAAAAAAAGTTGTGGTTAAGGATATAGCGCCATTTCCCATTTAAAACATTGAGGTTTTTTTTAAATAAAATAGTTCTTTAAAGGTCATCAGTTTTATAACTTATTCTTGATCTCTGAAATAAAATGAATACTTATCATATATCGCACAGAGTTTATGGAATGGAAGAATATACAAATAGTAATGTATTGCATCTGACATCCTTGTTTTTAAAAATATTTAATCTGCCAATCAAACTGCTGGAGCATGACTTAGGCAGCTGTATAGTATTTTAACATATTGAATGAATAAAGTGATGTGGACAGAAACCAGATCAAGATGACAAGATTAAGACACTCTTTTGTGGGCTCAAAACATGTCTGCACGTGTAATTCTCATTAAAGCCAACATATTTGACCAACGTAATTTTGAAAAAGATGTTGTCTTCCCTCAAAGAGGAAATCATATAGATGGCCAACAGCTACATTTTCTCTTGGCCTGTCAAGGAAGAACTAAACTGGTCAGCAATCCAGTTTAGAATTTGATAGCATTACAATAATTCAGGCTGCATGGCATACCTAGACATGTAATAGGAGTTACAATTGTATTGGTCATTTGCCAATTTGTTTGATGGCGGTATAGGTAACATCCTTCCTTACAGATATCCATGATACCATTGTATAATTCTCCTTAAGTATTTTAAAAGAATAGAATAGAGCTGGAAGGGACTTTGGAGTCTTCTAATCCAGCCTCCTACTCAAGCAGGAGAACCTATACAATCTCAGACAAGTGACTGTCCAGTCTCTTTTTAAAACCCTTCAGTGATGGGGCACCCATGATTTCTGAAAGCAAGCTGTTCCACTGGTTAATTGTCCTTACTGTTAGGAAGTTACTCCTTAATTCCAGGTTGCTTTTCTCTTTGATCAGTTTCCAACCATTATTTCTTGTCCTGTCCTCTGGTGCTTTGGAGAATAATTTGACCCCCTCTTCTTTGTGGCAGCCCCATAAATACTGAAATACTACTACCATGTCACACCTAATTCTTCTTTTCTTTAGACTAGCCAGACCCAAAATCTACAGGTTTAGTCTCCAGGCCTTTGATAATCTTAATTGCTCTTCTCTGAAATTTTTTCCAAAGTCTCAACATCTTTTTTGTAGCGTGGTGGCGAAAATTGATTGTAGTATTCCAGGTGTGGTCTTACTCAGATTTTATAATGTGGCACTAAGGGTTTTGTATTACTAGCGTTTTGTAAAGCAGCACTAAGTCATCACCATCATAATACATTGAAGAAACAAGGAATCAATATGGATTTGTAAAGTTATTAAAATATGGAAGACAGGTGAACAAAACCTCCTGTATTCAACAAATGCACATGTATAAAATACCTGAAGATACAGAAGAGTTTTCAAGAACAGTGGGAAAGCAGAGAATAAAAGGAAAACAGACGATTGTTGAGCTGCTAAAGGAACAGAATTGAATGAAGTGAAAACTGTGTGCTTACAAGTTCGCACTGTTGGGGCCAGACAGTTCACTAGAGTGCAGTTCATTTCCTTTTCCACTCTGCAACTTCAGGACTTTGAAGACCGCTGTAGGGATATAATCATTCTTCCATGGGCTGTGGGAGAAAAACCACAGAGCAGTTCTTCATTCATCCTCCAATAATACACCCCCATCCTCACTTTTAATTTGTCTTTCACTGTAAAGATACAGACCATTATTTCTTTGAAATTTCTTTCACTATTCATAGTTAACAGGGTTTTTTTTAAAGTCATAAAGCTGTATTAGCTGACTATCTGTCAGGTCCAAAATACTGTAAGTGGTAGACAGTTTTCATTCGCATGTTGGTATGCTGCCTGGAATTCTTTCAAAAATTCCAACATTTTAAAAATTCATTCTGCATTTCCTGATTGAAGAGGCTTGCTCAGCTACCATCTGAATATTAATTTGTCAAAGAACAATTGAGAGACTTACCATTTGATAGTCAGACGTGCTCCCCTTTCATATTATATAATACTGATTTTTTTCCCCCCCGTCATCAGCTTCTGCTATTTTGAATTTTGCATACTGCTATGTTTTCAGTGTGAACTCTGAACTGAAATGCTAGTTTTGAAATGATGCCATCCAGGGTTGATGCTGCTGAGGTTTCAAGGCCACTTGGCAACTCTGGAATACTAACCCTCTGACAACAAACTCGGAATATTAATTGTGTAAACATGGGTTTTTTTTCATCGTGTGAGCAATACCAATTAAACGATGGGGTATCTTTTGCAAAGGCCCTTCTGCCGAGAGAATCTTTCTGACTAACTAGAACAAAGGAATCTTAAATGCCTAGTTATTGCATACAAAGCTAGAATCTGATCAGTGTATCCTCACTTTCTGCTTTCTTTGACTGTAATGCACGGGTGTCCAACCCTGACAACTTTGAGACTTGTGGACTTCAACTCCCAGAATTCTCCAGCCAACATACAATTTATTGAGCCACTTTTGAACACTGTAAAATTTATAATTTAAATGAATCAACAATCCTACTAAATAGACATTATATAGTGCATACTGTATGCAAAATAAAGTCAAATCTATTACGTGTTTATTCAAAATTCCCAATCTTATTTAGAGATAGTTCTTTATTAAATATATGTTACATTAAGAATGTCTTATTCCCCTTTATTATGGGTAAATATACCTATTAATTATACAAGGTACAGTATATATTAAATGACGCTTCATCAAATAACTAATGCCATGACATCTTAAACTCTGTTTGATATCAAAGCCAGAGATGTCTCTCTATGGGAGGTGCTAATTTCATAAAGTTCTATATATTTATTTTCATGCAATTATATTATCTTGCAAAGACTTTTATATTCTTGAATTAATAGCATTACTGATGTTTTATTTTACATTTCTGATTATTAATAGTTATTTATAGTCATTTGTTTGGGACCTTAAAATAATGTATATGATTGTCCCTCTTTTATGTTTATATTCTTATATCTGACTAGGTCTTGGCAACTGATGTGAATCATGAAATTGGCATCACTGACCTAAGGTATCTTCATTTTTTCCTTGCTTTGGCAATTTATTAATTTGGTGACCTTGGTAACTGCCTAATTCACTTAGGTAGACAAGCCAGCTCCACTTCTGACAACAGCATAGATAGATGAATAGGACAAAGGCGTTCATGAGTTTTTTAGATCCTAATCTGTGCATCCTGTTGTGTCTTAAGAAAGACCTGAGAATGTGATGCTTCATAAAATTAATTTTTAAATTAAATTAAATTTAATTTAAAATTTTTAAAAGATCAGCAAATATTTGGCATTCAAATTATAGATTAATATTTTGAATAGAATATGTTGGGTAAAATTTTGTAGCTCTCAATTTAAGATTCAGTTTACACAGTCGTTCGTATTTACAAAAGAAGAAACTATATGCAATAACATATGCCTGTCTATTCTTGAAGCCAGTATTAAATCTTAAGAGAAATAAACAACAGCCTTTATTTAACTTTGTTGAGTATTGGAAAAAATCCAAAATCACGTTTTTTCTCCATAGCCAATACCTTTATGAATATAATAGATTTTTTTTCCAGAAAAATCTGACAAGTGTATTTTTAGGGAACTTGCTCCCAAGAAGAAAAACAAGTAGCTCTCTAACAATATCTTGTAGTAACTTATCTTGCATAGGGCACAGCATATTATCATGGCTCAGATTCTGGAAATACTTGAAAGGATTATCTTTAGAGCACAGGAACCATCTTTTAAAAAATAGACTAGTGTTCTTAATTTTTTTAACAGAATAAACCAAAATGTGCTTATCTCCTCAAGATTATTTTTTTAAAAAAGATTAAAATTTCCTTTAATTTTAAATTTTTCATTATGATTAGTTCTTAAAAACTACAAATTCCCTTTTCTGTTCATAATCATGTGTATAGGGTGTGCATGTTCCATTATTTTAAAATAATAATTAAATGCACAAACGCAAAAAATAGTTAGTGAAGTTAAACCAATCCAGGTGCAACATGAAGGTAGCCCCAGAATAATGTATCTAGGAAGTAAAAGAGCTAAAGAATGAAAGAATGAAAGAAAGAAGATGTATAGAAATTTTTAGATTAAATGAGAGTGTGGATTTAAAAAAAAAGTATATTGTTAATTAAACATACATTATAAATCACCTAGGCTGAAAAAATAAGCAGTTAATTAATTTATTATTTAAAAAATTTGTAAGGTCGTCCAACTTTTAATTTATGACTTTGAGTGGTGTGCCATAGCAATAAACAAGAACAAGCAGAAGTTAACCAATATAAACACAATATAGCAAATGCAACATTTCCATACAGTGCAAGGGATCAAAGCCAGATATTCACTGTTCTGCTAAAAGTTAATAGGGTAGATTGCATGGTGGTTGCATGGATATGATGTTTGAGATTGTGGTGGAATGCAAAGGTAATGCATAACAAACTAATAAATAAAACCAAGAACTGAACTCAGTTCAAGGCAGTCTTTAGCTTTAAACCTCCAAGTAATACATACTTGCTGGGTATATACATAGTGATGATAAGCCAAAACTGAATTTATGTTTTATTGGATTAAGCATATACTAAATAGCATTTCCCATAAATCAGCAGAAAAATGTCCAATTTTGGTTGTTGACCATGGCTCACATGGGCTGCACACTAAAGGATGTTTTGAGACTGAACGAATGAGCTGTATTGAGTCCTGGCTTTGGAGGAAAACAATTGTCATTTTGTGATATTTTTCAAAAATCTACAACGATAATAAACACCAATAAAATTTATCCTGGGATTATCTAGTTTGAAACTCACTGACGAAATACATTAGATAACAGACTATCGGAGATTTTGAAATTAAACCCGCAACACGTTAAAGTCTTTATTCACACACATATACATTTAGGATAAATAAGTGAGGCTTTTAAATAACCAGTTGACAAAATACAACAGTTCTTCTGTATTAGGAATGATTGCCAGCCAAATAAAATATCGCTGTTCCACAAGGAAATGGCTAACTAAACAGAGAGTGTAATGAATCCATAGCTGAAGATTTCTCCATGAAATTCCCTGTGCAAAAAAAAAAAAAAAAAAAAAAGATAGAGCTTTTTTTGTAGTTTTGGATATTCACAAAACTGATTGCTTAGTATTATGTAAATGGAAAATGGGTTTAAAATTGATTAAGTATATGATTAGTAGCGAAAAAAAATTAAATAGTATTGTGTTTGGGGGTATGTTTGATGTTTTAGCACAATTCCAAACTTTCCAACAAATATTTACCATGGACCTATATCAGAAGCCTGGTAAACATATGAAACACACTATAGATATATTTATTAATTTTCTTTTAAATTTTTAAAAAAGATTTATGAGATATAGTTTTCAAACCTACATAAGTACCTCTAAAATCAGTCTGTATAATTGAAGGCAAAAAAGTGCTTCTCTGAGGCCACAAAAATATACAAATAATAAAGTGTAAAAATAAATATATGTTCTGAAGTTATCTGTTCTTCCATATCTATCCAAAAAAGTTAAGATGGCAGCTAAATTTTATGTTCTTTTTAATGTTTTATAAATAACACAAATTGTATTATTTGCACTGACTTAGTAATTTTTTTCACAATGCCATTGTTAAAAGATATCATTTTATGTTTCATCACTGGTATAATGATGTTATCATAGAAACACTGCAATAATGTATTTCATATTTAATGGATACTTGTGAATGATAACTTCACTTTCCCCAATGACTTCATTTACAGGAGGGTCCATAGAAAAGTAAAATAAGGAAAACACAAGTGATGTCAACAAGATTTTCAAGTGGTATTGAACCACAGTTCCAGAAACCCAACAACATAGGCTAAGGATCATGGATTATGGATTTGTAATTTAAAGTCATCAGATTGTCTAGCTATTTGGAAGAAGAAATGTTCATGGCATTTGTTTATACCAAATGTTCATGGTATAAGGTAGTATAACAACATTGCTCACCTAATGTGAAGGTCCACACTATGTAGACCAGTCTAATTTCCTTCATTATTGATTACATCTCATTAACATTCCTTTTGTAATTCATGATATTAATAAATTCTGCTCTATATTTTCTGCTGAAATATTTGTTTTGTATAACATAGTGTCCTCAGGCCTCTTGGACATATAATTTAGTTCTTTCACAGAAGAAAAAAATAGATAATTGTAAAGCTAATTAAATCACAATTGCTCTTAATTACATTAAACCAATGTATGCCTTCTTTCTGTGTATTGTGTATATAACATTTGCCCAGTTAAACTATTACAGCTTGGTCTTAGTTGAGAGGAAGGAATGATGAAATAAATATGAAATTACATTTCCATATAATTTATAGCTACAGGTAAAGATACAGATGTTAAAATTAAACAGTTGTTAGTAGGTAAGAAGATAAAATCTTTTGAAGTAAGGGATAACATATACCATATACCCGTGATGGCAAACCTATGGCATGCATGCCACAGGTGGCATGCAGAGCCCTCTGTGTGGGCACACGAGCCGTCAGCCCAGCTCAGCTCCACCATGCATGCGTGTGTGCACCTCCCACCAGCCAGCTGGTTTTTGGGTCTCTGCTGCACATGCACAGGGGTGGGGTGCATGAAGGAGATGCATGTGCATGCAAGGGGTGGGGTGCACATGTGGGACTTGAGCACGCATGTGTGGGAGGCACACACGGGGGTCACGTGCATTGCATTATGGGTGTGTTCACACACACACGCACTTTCATGCACACATGCACATACTTTCGTCACTCAGTGCTGAAAAGGTTAGCCATCACTGCCATATACAGTACATATAACTTTCTTAATTAGGCAGTCCAAGCACATCTTGAGTATCAAAACAATTGGAGAAGAATTTAAGTTTGCAGTATTGGAAATTTAGCAGGCTATATTATTGATTGAGATAAATCTGATATACTTTCTATTGATTCTAAGATTTTTTACAGATATTTGTAAAAAGTCTATAGAATTATAGACTTGCAGTTAGTATGAACTCATCTCAATATGAGGTCATATGCAAAAATTGGCATCAATAATTTGGATCACTTTATTGTTAAGCAGTCTTTTAAAACTCTGTTTTTGATGCAAAAAAAGAAGTTGGATTGTCTAAAACTGATGAATAGCA